TTATTTAAGTTATTAACATCTCAACTTTTTTAATTTATAATAGTTTTTTCTTTAAATTATTATTTTTGTTTCGGTAATATTTCTTTAACTTTTTATTTTATTTTCTACAACGGTATCAAAATGAGATTTAAGAGAACTTAATAATTTCTTACAACTCAAAATATCAAAATGATCTGCAGCATTAATGCATTGTTACCATTGTATATATTAAGCATGAGTTATTTGATGAAATGCAATTCATGAGTTATATAGTAAAGTTACAAATTCAAATGTGCTAGAATTATTACTAATCTATATAAGATTCCAGGTTTATCTAGATTTAAAGACTCCAACATCACTGAAAACATTGGTATTCAAACTACTATTGTTCCACTACTACTGTTCTGTGATACGTCATTTAGTGCAAAATATTTTACGTAGCCGCTATAGTGGTGCGCATAGCAGAATTTTAACGATCTTCTATTTTCCGCAATCTAAAATTGACAACATTAAGAGGGAAAAAACAGAGCTTTCACGCCATGAAATAGCATGGCTAATGTTGCTCCCAAAAGCTTCAACGGTAATTTGTTCAAAAATAATCTTCACCCAAAAGCTTTCAACCTATACGAAACCGACAATTGCCATAAGTTAACAAAAGAAAATTTCACACCAATTTGAACAGGTTGGGACAGAAAATTCGCGCACAAAACTCTATAACCGGACTTCGCTGTGTAACAGTTCAATATGTCTTCCTTCCAAACCACCGTATCGGATTTATCGCGCTATATATGGAGAAAAAACCAGCAGAACATCAAAAAAAGCAGAATAAGAATCCTGCAACAAAGCTGCAGCGGTAAAAGACAAATCGCAGTCGCCCCAAAACCAATCATTCTGCACCTAGGTTCCCATCTCCGATACCGTCGCATTAGGTAGAGTACACATGGAAAATAACTCAGGGAAAGAAATTTTCAAAGGAACTCTTCCTAATCAACAATCATACCAGAACAGAAACTTACTGCCATCACCCAACCTATACTTCACATTACCGTTGAATACATCATCGTTATGTCTTCTCTCCAACGAAATGAGATCCCTCCAGTAAGAAGAACAAAACGGATAACGTTTTGATGATAAATCAAAAGCAGAATTAAAACCGTACCTTGCTTGCAGAACTTGAAACCAAAATGCCCCGTTATGATCCAGTAACCTCCAACGCCACTTTAACAGTAAGCTAATATTAAATTTACGCACCCTTTTAAAACTGAGACCACCGTAATCAGTCGGTAAACAGCGCTGTTCCCACCCAACCCAATGTGTTTTTCTTCTGTCTGACACCCACCCCACAAAAACTTGTTCTGCAACCTTGTAATAACGTTGCAAACACTTACCGGAGTCCGGTAAAATGAAAATAAGAATGTAGGAAAGCTGCTCCAAATAGATTTCAGATGCGTAATACGACTCCCCAAACTCAAAACTCTGGATTTCCAATTGAACATACGAGCTTCCATTTTCCGAATAAGAAATTTCCACGAAGCCATACGTCTAGGATTTATACCGATAGGTATACCAAGAAAACTGAATACTTTATCTTCCACCTTGCAAGACAAGAAATTCTCCGCAGCATTTAAGAAATTCATATTGATATTGACACCAATCAATTTGCTCTTAAGGAAATTCATTCTAAGTCCCGAAATAACCTCGAAGCCTATAAGAATCAATTTCAAAGCCCATAGATGCTTCCAAATCCCATCACCAACCAAAAGAGTATCATCGGCAAATTGCAAAATGTCTACAACACAATCTTTGATACGAAAACCAGAAAAATCACCGTTTAACAAAGATTTCCTAACCAAACCAGTTAAACTTTCCGCCACTAAAACAAACAAAAAATGAGATAACGTATCACCTTGCCTCGCCTCAAATCCCTTTCCACCTTGAATTCCTTGGTCGGAATACAGTTCACCAAAATAGACAAAAAGCTGGAAAAAATAGTCGCCTCCATTCACCTTAACCACTTTTTTTTTTTTGCCAAAACCCATCCTATTCAATAAGTACCTAAGAAAGTTCCAATTCACCTTATCATAAGCCTTTTCAAAATCGACTTTCAAAAGCAAACCATCCTTTTTTTTCCTTAACCGTATAGTCCACAGTTTCATTGGCGACCAAGACACCATCTAAAATATTTCTTCTGGGAATGTAAGCTTTTTCAAAATCGACTTTGAAAAGCAAACAATCTTTTTTTTCCTTAACCGTAAAGTCCACAGTTTCATTGGCGACCAAGACACCATCTAAAATATTTCTTCTGGGAATGAAAGCTGTTTGACACGGAGAGACGATGGAGCCAAGAACTCTTTTCAACCTGTCAGCTAAGACTTTAGCAATATCTTTGTATAAACATCCCACTAAGTAATCGCTCGCACTGCCATGAAATTCTTTAAAGAATTGAAAAATATCTTCCTTAATAAAAGACCAACATTTTCTAAGAAATAAAAAGTTGTATCCGTCTGGACCCAGACTTTTAGAACCTCCGCGCGCCCAAAAGCATCTTTGATTTCAGCATCTGAGAACTCGACTTCCAAAATGCCATCAGGCATGGGCCTGTTAAAATCCGATTCCTTGTAAGATTCAGCGAAAAACCTACCAGCTTCCTCTTTAACCGCAGTGACATCCTCAATCTGCCAGTCTACAGTATTGAGAATTCCAATAGCATTTCCAAGTCTTCTTTCTCTCATAGCACAATGGTAGTATTTACTATTTGCATCTCCTTCAAGATCCCACTTCTGTGTAAGGCAATGTCATCAATCAGATTATCTTCGTAACTACCAAGGAGGTCATCTGCTTCATTGATAAGCCTGCTTCTCTCTTGAATATTCAAATCAATCCTCCCAAAAATCTCGGCATTCCAATTACATAAGGCAACTTCCAGCAATCTTAATTTCTCCTTCAATACAAAATCACCCATACACTCGGCTTTAAGATTCCTCCATTCTCCCTCCACGAAAGGGAGGAGGAAATCTTTGTTCTCGAACCAACTGTTGTTCACTTTAAACGGCTTAGGTCCCCAATCCGCTTTATTAGAAACCAACCAAATAGGACAGCGGTCTGAAATATCCCTATCGCCTATAAGCTGACCAACCATCCCACCTGTTGATCAAAACGTCGGATAAAAGGAAACGGTCAATCCTGCTCATATGCATGCCATTGCCGCTAAACCAGCTGAAACGTTTCCCTTTACAAGGAGGATCAACCAAGTTCGTTTCAACAATAAAATTAGGGAACTCCTTCATCTCCTTAGTTCTGACTCCTGTAGCACTTCCCTTCCTTTTGTTCAAATTCACAGTAGAGTTGAAGTCACCATAAATGCACCATTCACCATCCATGTTCTTCTGCTGAACTTCCAACAATTCCTTCCACATTCTTCTTCTAAGAACCAACGGACACGGAGCATAAACATTAACTGACATAGACCAACAAGTCTTTCCACCGCAACTTGATGCCTCGAAAACCAAAGCCTTTGAAGCTGTGGAGCACATCAAATTTTCCTTCCTTCCACATGATGATCAAACCTCCAGACTGACCATCAGAGTTGGAAAATAACCAACCTATCTTCTGCTTACACCAAAAGTTCTTCACAGTACCATCATCAACAAGAGTTAATTTTGACTCTTGAATAAGAAATAAATCAACATTACCTTTAACAATGATCTTGTTAACACACTTACGCTTCACCATCCCCTAATACCTGCTATTCTATGCGTACCAGAAACCTCAATAGGAGACATAACAACATCTTAATCCCTGGAAAATGACTTTTACACTCTATAATACAAAATTTTAAGTTCTTAAATCCAGTTGAAAACAACTTCTACAACAAAAGTTCTATAAAATGTTAGTAGCTTAAAATTGGTGATATTGTTTTTTCATAGTGAGATAAATTTTTTACTATATTGCATTCAAACATCTTTGGCAGAGTATGCCCAATTTAGTTCCAATTCTTTTTTCCTGAGTTTGAAAGTCTACTGCATAATTTTAGGAAAAATCTGAACAGGAAAAATCTGAAAAATCTGAAACGATAATGAGACAAGGTCATATAGTCTTAGCAAGCCTATACTCTGTCAAAACACAACACAAACATAATTACATGCAACAACAATATCACATCACACAAAACAAGAGCAGAACAATGAAGTTTATTTATGACAATGACATAACTAGTTTTCAAACAATTTCTCCTCACCTTTAAGAGATGTCAAAAGGTTTCAATCCTCTTTCGATAGCAGTTTTGAGAGATTGAACCGTGGTTCTCCATATCAAATTCGGCGTGAATCACTACTGAACTAAGGATCATCAGTAGATTAGAATTATTTTTTATAATTTATGTATTCCATTAATATACTTTTATGAATCATTATCACTTATTTAACTATTATTTTATTAATATTTAATTATATTCTATAATTGATTTTAATTATGGTATATTTATAAATATTTTTTAATAAAAAATATTTATTTATTTGAATTTTAAAAAAAAATAATATATAAAATATATTGTTGATTCGAATATTTTTATATTAGTGTAATATATATTATTAGTCCAAATATTTGTATTGACAATAAGACCTTAGAACGTTCTCATAAAAAACGACAACATGTCTTTTATTCAATTGAGGCCACGCTGTGTGTGTGACTGTTTTTAAAGGATTGTAGTATTCAATTGCGGCCACACTTACTGCGTGCAAACATATTTAAAGCATATAGTTTATTTTATTTTTTTCAAATCAGTAGTATACACTATATATATTTTCTTTTGAAATTAGTTTATCTTATTATAATTTCTTTATGTCACGTTAGTTGGGGATAAAATAATTTGGTGACAAGCCTAGCACTTGTGATCATAGAAAAACGCAAAAGACAATAAAGTTACACATTAAAGGAAAAAAGTCAAAGACAAGAAAAGCAGGTTAGATAATGTGAGATTAAGAAAAAGCAAATTGAAGGGAAAAAAAAAGAGTGAGAAAAAAATGGCGAGCGAAGGAGCAATTGTAACATCCGCAATGGTTACAGCTCAGTTCCTAGAAATGGGTGGTAACACTCTATTTAAAGCAGCCACCAATGATGGAATGAGTATTTATGTTTTCATGTTTTACTCAAACCTTTTTGCTCTATGTTTTCTTCTACCTTCCACTCTTTTCTACCATAGAAAAAGAGCTCCTCCTCCTATTTCATCATCAATTTACTGCAGATTGTTTCTTCTCAGTTGCCTAAGGTATCAACCAACAAACAAAATAACCAACAAATTGACGCAGTATATGCAAAAATATTCATTATTTCGTTTCATTGACATGAGCAACATGTTTGTGTAGTACTTTAGTGCAGATTTTGATGAACACTGGAATTAGATGCAGCTCTCCCACGTTGTCATCCGCTATGGTTGACCTTGTCCCAGCTTTTACCTTCATACTTGCTGTAATTTCAAGGTTTGTCTTTTCAATTTTTATGTTATGTTATTTAGCAAGGTCCATATGTAGAGACAATTTTGGAGAAACAAGATAAGAAGTATGTGGTTTCAGTATTAAGATAGAAAAGCAAACTTTTTCCAACACAGTGAAATTAAGATATGCTAGTAACAAAATTACTGGACTGAATCATGACATTATTTTTTGTGAGAATGAAATTGAATTAGATAATTATGTTTTTAAAATTGCAGTTACACTAATTTTGTGGAGAGAATTATTCCACAATTTATAATTCTTGTATATCTTGAATATTTAACAAGAATATCTATATTAGAGGAAATTAAGAATGTAGTCAATAATATGAATGATAATTCTTCTCCGGGTTATGATAGTTTTGGACAATGTTTTTTTTTTCATGCTTATTGAGATATTAGAGAGATCGGTTTGATCGATTCACTTGATCAATTCTTTGAAAAAGTTTGGATCATTTATAATCTCAACTAAGTCAATGTGATTTTGATACCTAAACAAAATGGATTAGATTCTATTGAGCAATATAGACTTCTTCCACTTGTTTATTTTCAATTCAAAATCAGCACTAAGATTATTGCAGATAGATTGACCATCTTAACTCCTAATTTTTTTTTCCAGAGCACCAATAGACTTCGTTAGAGACACATATATTTATGAGTGCATTGCGATTACTTCAGGAGTCATTAATATGTTAGACAAAAACTCTTTTGGAAGTAGTATGACTTTGAAGATAGAAATTAGAAAAGCATTTGATACTTTAGATTGACAATATCTTATTAAAAATTATTATTCAATATGTTTTTGATCAAAAATTTTGTGATTAGATTCTTACTATTCTTCATTCAGCCAAATTATCAATCATGATAAATGGAAAAGTTGAAATATTTTTTTCTTGCTCTAGAGGAGTGAGGCAAGAAGACCTTAGGTCTCTTTTGCTATTTTGCATTGCTGAAGAGACCCTTAACAGGCAATTAATTATATATGTTAGTGGATCAGGGAAAGTTGACAAGCCATAAAAACTATCTAATTGTGAAAAATAGATGTTGATTAATTTTGAGCTTCTACATCCAGTCCATTTTTTCCCTACAAACTCATCATCTACCCACGTATTAAATGTGTGTAAGTTGCCACGAAAAATAAGTAAAGGTGATTTTTATAACATTTCATGTCAATGATAGCTAACACATCATACATTGCTCATTACCATCATGCTCTTATTGTCAAGAAACAACACAAACAACATAATCGATTCAAATTGGGCGGAGGTACGCATAGCAAGACAAAATCAACACAAGGTATCTAGAAGAAGAATTTGGACGACAAGAGGTGACAAGGAAGTTGTTGAAGAGGGTAGGATAATCTCTTCTTTCTTCTTCACTAAATTTCCGGAGGGTCATGAAGCCAAGGATATGTTTGAGGTCTTCAAGGAACATGCTTTGGTGGTGGAGGTAGTAATCCCTTCTAAACATGACAAGTGGGCAAGGCGTTATGGATTTGTAAGATTCAAGAAGGTAGACGATGAGAGAGTTCTGACCATTAAACTTGATAGCATTTGGATCAATGGCAAAAAGATTTTCACCAATGTACCTAGATTTCAAAGGAAGTTATCGGAGGTTCAACATGGAGGAGGAAACTTGTCTAAGAGGAAGGATTATTTGGTAGAGACTCACATATTTGTAGGGGTAAAACAACCATAAACCAGACCCGAGGCTTCCTACGCGTAAGTACTTGGTGGAAGGAGATGTGAAGAGGTTGCGAAATATGGTAACCAGGATAGAGGTGTGAAAAGGTGTTTCAGGGGAGAGGGCCAAGGAAGAAACAAGATAAGATGAATTAAGTTCTGTTGAGTGATAAACCTTCATTTGCACACCTTCAATTCAACGTCCAAAAAGAAAATTTTCTTAGGTTTGAAAGAGCATATGTAGGTATTGTAGAGGTATCAGGTTCAACATACAAAATACATAATACTTTGCTAGAATAAGGAATTTTCAATATCAAGGCAACACCTATGGGTGTGAATCTCTGTTTATTGGAAGAAGATGTTGATGAGAAGATTAAAAAGTTGATTGAGAAAGAGAGAAGTTGGGTATCCCGATGGTTCTCTGACATTCATCCATGGTCGTCGGCGGACTTGGATAATGAGAGACTCACATGGATAAGTTGTTATGGACTTCCTTGCCATGTGTGGAGGAGTTCTGGGTTTTTCAAGTTCATCACAGGTAGAGTCGGCGTTTATGTACAATCTTACGATGAGACAGAAAATATGGATAGGCGACGGGCTTAGTGTTTGATCAGAACAAAATTTGCAATGATTCTTAACGAAGTGTTTAATGTGGAGGTGAACAAAACGATTTATCAAATCAAATTGGTCGAAGACTCTCATGGCCCTTTAAGAATCGATATCGCAAGTAAAAAGAAAAAGGCTTCATCTTTGTAAAAGTTTAGTTCAGACATTGATGAGGATGACTTGAATGATTCTACGGAGGAGTCGAAGGAAGACAGAGAGTTTATGCTGAAGAAGGAGGACATTCTGGGGTCAATATCCACTCCATTTCTTTGTCCCTCCATTTTCTCTATTATTATAGTTTTGTGTGTAAATAGCACACATTTCTATGACATGTGACATACAATTAATATTTAGTTGATTTTATATGCATAAAACTATAGTAATGGAGAAAATGGAGGGACAAAGAAATGGAGTGGATATTAACCCGACATTCTGAGGGTGGGGATGGGCACTACGATTTCCAAGATTTTAGGAGGTTAGTAGGCTACTTATGTTAGGGATGTAGGTGCTAGTTACAAAGAAAAGGTAAAAGATGTCGACGGAGCTAGGCTGCTAGGAGGCGAAAAGGGATTTTTTACTCTAATACCCTGTTTTGGAAAAAAATACCATAATATCCTCTTTTGAAATTTATTTACCAGTGCTTTTATCACGAGCTCGCGCATTGAAGTGACGGACATGTGCAGAAAATTGTTAGGGCTTATGAGTTCGCCCATTGGACTGGCGAGCTTGTGTTGTGATTTTTGGCCCAGTATGAGCTCGTCCATTAGAAGGACGAGCTTGTACACGTTGCTTTTTTTTTATAATTTTTTTTTTGTGTTTTATTTATTTATTATAATTAATATATTTTTTAATACATAAATTAATAAATTATATGATTAATAATAAATTAATAATTTTAATTTTAATAAATAATGTAATTTTAATGTAAATTACTTTTTAATAAGATTAAAATTACATTATTTATTAAAATTAAAATTACATTATTTATTAAAATTAAAAATATTAATTTATTATTAATCATATAATTTATTAATTTATGTCTTAAAAATATATTAATTATAATAAATAAATAAAACATAGAAAAAAAATTGAACAAAAAAGCAACGTGTACAAGCTCGTCCTTCCAATGGACGAGCTCATACTAGGCCAAAAAATAAACCACAAGCTCGCCATTCCAATGGGCGAACTCATAAGCCCTAACAATTTATGCACATGTCCGTCACTTCAATGGGCAAGCTCGTGATAAAAGTGGGATATTTTGGAAAATAAATTTCAAAAGAGGGTATTATGGTACATTTTTTTTTCAAAATAGGGTACTATAGTAAAAAAAATCCGGCGAAAAGCAGATTCTAGGAAAATGTAATGCAATCTGCACACGTAAAGCAGACTTTTGCATTAGGTCTTTTCATAGCCTGCCGTTTAAGGTTGACAAATGTTTGGAGGGGCCCATTTTAGGGGAAAATGAAATGAATAACTTGGTCTTGTGTGATATGAATGTTGGCTTGAATGATGTGGGCCTTAGACCTAGTGTGGATTCTATTGTTTGCTCAGATCTAAGGGTTGTGGGGCCTGAGATGATTATGACGCCCAGGAAGAAAAAATTATTATCTGATGGAAATTTTACCCCATACCCCTACAGTTATACCCATACCCCTACACTAAAAATTTTTGGACCAAAATACCCTCGTATAAAAAGTTATAATTTTTTGGTTTGTTTACCGGAAGACTTTTTGGAAGTCTTCCGGTTCACATTTTTTTGGTTTGTTTACCGGAAGACTTTTTGGAAATCTTCCGGTTTACATTTTTTTTGATTTATTTATCGGAAGATTTTTTGGAAGTCTTCCGGTTCACATTTTTTTGGCTTGTTTACCGGAAGACTTTTTGGAAGTCTTCTGGTTCATGTTTATTTTTTTTTTATTTTTTATTTTTAATTTTTTTTAATATTCAAATTACAAATATATTTATTCTATTTACTCTATTTTAGTTAATTAATATATTTATTTTATTTACTCTATTTATTCTATTTATTTATTTAATAATAATTATTCCACTAATTTGATTTTTTATTAATTTATTATATTTATTTACTTAATAATAATTACTCCACTAATTTGGTATTGTTTTTTTTAATCAATAAAAATAAAAGTTATTAACTAATTTATATATTGATTGTGTTCTTTAAAGAAGAAAATTAACAATTTAATAATATGTTTATATGAAAAATAAAAATAAATATCATATTTAAATTATAATCCTATCATTTCTTCTATCAAAAATTTTCACCAAAAAATTATAATATATAACATTTATAATTATTTAAACAATATTTTATGAAGTAAAATATTAACTTTTAAAAATATATTTTATGGGGTAAAATATACTTTTAAAAATTTTCACCATAAAATATTAACTTTTAAAATTTGTAGGGGTAAAATATTTTATGGGATAAAATATTAAAAACTAATTAAATCATAAACATTTCCTTCCGAGTAATTGTAGTGTCTCAAAATTCTCAGGCATATCTAGAATCACAAAGTCGACTGAAAATGATAGAACATCTACTCTTACCGAGACATCTTCAAGAATTTCATATGGGCATGTGATTGATCTATCCTCCAGTGTTAGAATCATTTGAGTAGGTTTCTACTCACCATATTTTAACTTCCTCTTCATGGACAATGACATCAGATTGATGCTAGCT